CAGGAATATAAGATCATCAGCAGCGGGAGTAACTTCATTTTTCATTGATCTCTAACAATAGCTTGGCTCAAGTTTTGTTTTTTGAAGAAGTCTAGTGATGAATCAATCAGTGAAACCAAACATGATAAAGTGAAAATATGTAACTATTAATCAACTAAATGAATGACTCCAACCAAATTAATGGCTACAGGTGCTGTTCAGCTTCAACGAACCTCTAATGAGATCATCATGAAAAGGCAGCATAAGCAGTCAATGATGGGATAAGTCAGTTACTGCAGGCATACCTCTGACCGCTCAGCTTTGAGTTGTTTGTACTTGGCACTTCTACGATCGAGTCCTTCCCACAATTCAAAAGGCTCAGTTCCTGGTGTGTAAGCGTGTAATAGATGTTTTCCAGGGGGTGCTAAATCTGGACTAAGCACGCTAGGAACAGATATCAAGACAACATTTTGATCTGCATCGACTCCTCCACTCCAATCATTAACAACGATGTGATGAATCCCCAAGTCTTTTTTTATACACTGATCAGTAAAGCAATTTGAAAATGAAAGATGAAAGATGACGATATCAGTATTGCGGCTTAAAGCTGTAAACTAGAAAAGAAAGGAAATAAGAATAAAAATAGAATTTGAATAATACAAAATTTATATCCTCACCTCTGCATCAAAACCCAAATGGAGATGCATGAATGATTCACACTGAGGTGTTGTGTTGATCCTGTCCAGATAAGACTTTGGAAGAACTTCCTTGGGCACCAGATTTGAAGTGTCCCACATAGATGCATTGCTGATTACAGCCTTTTTAGCACGTATAAACTGCAGGATACAAGTATAGAGGTGTTGATACGATAGGTTCTTGTTTAGCAATCAATTCACGTAACAGTTCAATCTACTCACTTGACCGCTTCTTAGCTTGACTCCAGTGGCTCTATTGTTTTCGACAACAATCTCTTCTACATGACTTCTTAGAGAAAGCCGTCCACCAAACTTTTCCAGTCCTCTGACAAGGGCATCAACTAAGGCCCCAGTTCCATGAAGAGGGTACTCAAGACTGCAGCCTGGCTTATACCATTCTGCAAACATGTAAATCTGAAACAAAGAGGAAAAAAAGGCAAGTTATCATCATATCGGATTGGAAAAAGAAGAGTATATCATAACTTTTTTCTACAGAAACAAGCCTTGAAAAATTGGAGAAGGAAAATGAACATGTTATTAATTATAAAAAGAGCAAATCTATCATGAATTTATTAAGATGTAATAAAAAGAAATGAGGGAGATGACCATTTTTAATTTCCAAATAAGCAGTTGAGCTGTTAATGGTCCTAGACTCTTAAAAGACATCTTGCATAATTGCTGAATTCATCCAGAAAATCAACACATCAAGATCATGTAACTTTGTATGTGCAGTTGCGACACAAGAATTTGTATCATGTCACCCAAGCATGCGCAGCTGCTCCCCAAATAACTGTTCTACCACACTAAATTGAAAATCAATGGGAAAACAGTCTTTTGCATAGGAAAGATCAAAGGAGAACTTCTCTATGAAGGTAGTGCACATGCTCGACGCCACTAGCGTTTTTGCTTCAAGTTAGAGCTATTAATGACATGTACATGTTCAAACAAATGGTACAATCTCCCACAGGAAATCATGAAGTAAATGATTAGTTACCATCTCTGCTGAGAGTATACCATGGTTTAAGAACATGGTTTTTTCTGCATCCCATCTAGAAGAAGTCTCAAAGAATTTCTGTGGAAAATATCAGAAATTAAATCATGAAATAGTTACCATCTCTGCTGAGAGTATACCATTAGATTTCACCCCTGCAAGAAGGAATGCCAGAAGGTCCACCCAGTTTCTTATAAAAGGGTCTTTCAGCTCCAATGAGTCAATGATTTCTGAGAAAGGCCTAAGAAGCTTTGTAGCACCTAAAGCTCCCTGAGGTCCCATCTGCAGAAAGGATTTCAATAGAGAGGGTGCATATCTAGCTGCAGCGGTGGAAAGAACACCAAAATCACCTCGAATAGATAAAGGAGGAAGAGCCATTGCAGCAGAAGAAAGTGGAAGTATCGCATCCTGCGATAGAATTGCATTTAGCATTTAAAGATATTGATCAACAACAGGTGGCTAGATGGTTGTGAAGCAGTTGATATGGAACCATACTATTTACTTGTGAAATGTTTATAAGCAAAAAAATATAGCAACCCCATTAGCTCATCTCTGAATAACTGGTTTTGCATGCAGTGATCAGACAAAAATATCATGTACCAGATATATGTTTCCAGAGAGCAAAATCCTTGGAGAAAAACTACATTAAAAAAACCCGCTTTGAGCAATGCATGAAGTAGCTGCTCTGAAGGAAGAAACTTGCTCCCGAGAGTCACAGGTCCCAAACTACACAACGGCACAAAAAAATGGTTTTGAAGTTTGGAAACTTCGGGAAAATAGTGTTACAAATGTATTTCTTTCTTCCTTTCTGATCTTTTACATTACATTTTCAAGATAAGTTAAGAACCATGCAAACTCAGATGACTGATATCCTCAAAGAATGCATTCAGCTTGATGGTTAATTCTTGTGAGCAAAAACTACTGGTATACATACATACTATATAGTATGAAATCTCAGCAACATAAATCTTAGTAATGGAACATGTATTCATTAAGGGGAGGAAAACTGGCACAACTCACAAGAAGCTTTTTCCACTCTTGCACTGCATTGGGACCTGCATACTTCTCAAGGTCCTGGAGGAAAAGGTAAAAGAGTCCAATTGAGCAAAAACTTATTCGAATGAATAGAGAGTACTTGGTGCTTACCCAAAGTGAAATCATCATAGAAATATGAGATGTGAGAAGAGCACAGAACTTGAGGAATGCCAATCAGAATGCAAATATACATGGATGATGAGTTGCTAGTCAGATTAATTGCTGTTCTTTATATTTTTATGTCCATCTTCACAACAATTGGTTTCATGAACGCAACAATTCAATCACTTGACGAGTGTATATGGCAAGCCAGGAATAGTTTCTTCACATTTCAGCAATGGCATCAAGGCATCAAAGCATCAATCGGGATTTATGTAATTTGTTTTTGTCTTTTTCTTGAAGAAAAGCTTCGACTGCAACTGTACATCCCTACTTAATTTAGTTTCCTAAAACACTTAAAAAGGTCACTTGGAATGATACAAGACAGATTCAGCAACCAAAAACAGCTACCCAAGGGGAATGCTTTATGGTATATGACTTACTAGGAAAAGGTCATTCGAAGAACATAAAAAAGGTGGGATCATCCATAACATTTACATATAACTAACATCCTTTGTCATGGCCATTTATTGCATGGTCGAATGTTCAACTTATAGCATAACGAAAAACCAACTCTCACCATCCTTGTTCTAACACCAATATCTACATGTTTGCTAAGGTTTTTCTATTGTTTATTCATTTATTTTGAGGTCATGCTGGACAATACCATGTCAGAAACACTAGCCGTCAATGTGCAATCATCAAAGCCTTCAGTGCAACATAAAGAAAAGAATGGTGATTATTGAGTTCAGTCAACCAAATATGCAGAATCAAAGTCCCATGCAAATTTAATCAATACCCATGTCATCCTGATCTGATACAATGTCAAACGCACCAAAACTGCAGCTATCATCTGTAATTGATTAAAGATGCTGCTGAGTGATGTCAGGTTCCATTTGTTTCTGGATGGATTAGTTGTTCCACATAATTTATATTCCCCCACCTCTCTCCTGTTCTTACATTGAATCGACAGTGTGCATATTTTAAACAAGTTGCACTCGTTGCATGCACAAAACAGATCAAAGATGCAACTCATAAAGAAACAGGACACATGAGATACCTGAAATGGGACTGCAATCTTAACATGGTAATGATCAAAACCTACCTTGTAAAATTCTGTGGGGCCGATGCGTGACAGGAATTCACCTTCAGGTACGTAAACCATCCAAGAGTCATAATTCACACATGGAATTGATTCACCCAGAGCATCCAGAACCTGAAAATCATATGAAGATATGCATTAAACAAAGATGATTATTATTGTTTTTCAAGAAGATAAAAAGGTCAGAGCACCATTCAAGAAAAACGATCTTTATCAGTAAGAACATCAGAGAAAGCGGCTTGACACCTGAAGTCAGTAACGAATTAAATAATAGAACTAGTAAACAAACAATTTGCTTGGACTCTACAAGCTAGAGTAAGCAGTAATCAATTCTTGCCTAGAGGAAAATTCCAAAAGTCAGGATTATAACAAATCATTAACTACTTCAAAAAAAAGTGACCGAATCATTTGATAAAATCAGATCATATCTAGTAATTAATATGACTCAAAGTTCATGCATATTTCTCCTTGTCAACTCTATGATTTTATGTGAACATAGTGCTTGGAATCCGGCAACAGTATTTATCATGAAGCAGCAGCATGATCAATTTACTAGCAACAGGAAAACGTAAATAACAACAAAGAAAAATGGAAAGAAGAAATACCTGTGCAAGGGGATTTGCCTGAGGACCTCTTGATTGAAAACCAGAAAACAATGATGGACCAGAATCAAACTTATAGCCTTTTATCTCAAAAGAATGAGCAGCACCCCCAGGGCGATCATGACTTTCCAATACAAGAACATCCTGCTCGTATCTAGCTAGAAGTCCTGCACAACAAAGCCCACCAATACCACTCCCAATAACAACAACATCGGCCTCTGGCTTCCCTGCACAGGATTTTGCAATTGTAGCAGAAGTTCAAGCATCCAGACAAGGTAAAACGAACAAAAGTTCGTGCAAGTGTTGTAACTTCAAATGTAGTCTAATCATGCTAAAAGGATCAATGAGATTCTTGCCCGTGAGTATATATATGCAAACAAAGAATGTGATAATTACATGTAATCTGAAACCAACCACTTCAAAAGAACAAGAGGAAGGGACCACAAGAACCTGAGTCAAGGCAGCGAATGAGCGCAAATGAGTCTCTTTGTCCAAGAACATGGTAGAGATGAATGAAAATGACGATGCATATGTATAATATGTTTTTTCACTCCTTTTCTTCTATTTCAAATCCCCTACCTCCTAGGTTCGGAAACCCAAAAGACAGCCATTGATGAATCATTTCAAGCTATAAAGCTATCAACCAGATGATCATAGTGCATACTGGCAGCCCAAAGTAGTGGGTTGGATATTAAATTGTTTGCTGAATTCTAAATGACAAAGTCAGAGTCTGTTAATCCTTTAGTAGGCGTCATAGCGTAAGTCACAAGAAACACAGCCACCAAAAAACGGAAGAAACCACAAAAGCAAGTGCCAAGAAGAAATAGAGCTGTACTCTGTGTGTGTGTGTGAGAGAGAGAGAGAGAGACCTGGGAAGGGTTTGTAATCATTGACAAGGAGAGAGCCGACGGAAGAGGGGCTTTGAGCGCTGGAGGTTGTTCGCGCGAAAACTGGTTTCTTGAGAGTAGGAGGGGATTCAGAGTTGAAGGAGAGAAAGTGGGATCGGTTGGGGAAGACAGAGAATGTCATTTCGGGAGCTCTCTAAGGATAGACTTGGACTGATCAATAAGAAGCCATTGTCCTTAAACTAAAGAACCTCTCTGTCTGTCTCTGGCCATACAGACGAAAATCCATCTATCCTTTTCTAAGGCTCTCTTTTCTTGAATTTGAGACTATCCACGTCACTAACCTGTTCCCATCTCTCAATATCTGGTGGTGCGCATATTAAAGGATTGCTTTCTCAACTGGACACCCGCCCTCCTCTTCTGCCCGTGTGCTGATAGCTGTTTTTTTTTTTTTTTTAAATGCCCGTGTGCTGATAGCTGTTTTTTTTTTTAAAAAAAAATATAATACCTATTGGAATTTAAAATATTTTTTATTTAAAAATTTATTAAAATCATATTTTTTATTTTTAAAAAAATTATTTTAAAATCAACACATTAAAAATATTTAAAAATATAATAATTTTTTTATAAAAAATATTTAAAATTTAAGGAAAAGTAGCTTCAACAGCTTTTCTAAAAACTTCCTTAATTTAGCCTTTCCAACTTTCTTTTTAAAATTTTTTATTTTCAGTTTTGAATTATTTAATATATTGATATTAAAAAAATAAAAAATATTATTTTAATATATTTCCTAACAACAAAACATTTTTTAAAAAAAAACATTTCACCAGACTCCTAACCATGCCTTTAAATTTTAAATTAAACAATAGAAATCAGTATAATTTGATAAATTTCAATGCCAAAAATTAGATCACTAGTTGAAGAAAATATAGTAGTAAATGATTTTTTAGTAAATATAGTAACAATTATTTTTAAAAATATATTTTTATTCAAAAATATATTTAAATAATATATTTTTATTTTTAAAAATTATTTTTATATCAACATATCAAAATAATTCAAAAATATAAATAAATTTTTTTTTTTTAAATCAATATCTAACTAGTTAAAAGGGCATGTTCTCTTTTTTTTAAAGACTAATACAGTACAAACTAGTTCAAAAATATTCTTTTGTGCTGGATGAAACAAAAATCATAAAATTAAGAGAACACAAATTTATCTATTTGAAAAAAGAACAGAATGAATCAAAATTTGATAAAAATAAAGACAGGTTAAACGTCCTCCAAGATAGATTAGCGATTTAGGTTTTTTTTTCAAAACAAGTAATGTTTTCCATGAATTTTCAAACATGTTAAGACCTACGAGTAGGATTTGAAAAGGTGAACTTGAATAAAATCTCTCCATTTAGGTTTTGACTCCCAACCCTGAAGAGAGAACCAAACGCCCGAAGAGGCATCTTCAAATACAGTAATCCATTGCTTGAGAAGCCCTGAAAAAATGCAGACTTGTGATGACATAATGATAGAGCACATGAACAGGAGATATACAAAAAGACATCAGTGAAAATCCCATTGCACTGCGCCTACATTTACCGCCTCATATTCTCCCCATGTGCCATCACCACACAGGACCACTTGTTCATCAGGCAATGAGCAGTGACCTGTTGAAACTTAAACAAACATTAAGGCATACAGCATATTCTCAATGGGTATGAAAACCATTGAAAGCCATCATGTTGTAAGAAGGCAACTTTCCATTTCAGCCTAATAACACCGTCATCAACACAGCCATAACATGCACCAATTAGTTCCTACCAGTTACAATATTCATCCACACTATTAACCGATCGCTCAAATCCATTCACAACATACCAAGTTTTTTGCAAAAGACCCACATTTGCTTCTCTTCTACAAGAACCGGAGTATAGGAAGCCCTACAAAATAACAGGGGCGATACACAAATGCTCACGAAAAGCGTATAGCAGACTGCTTAATGAGACATATAACAACTAAAGGAATCCTGGTTGCAACTATTTGCAGTGGATATATATACAGTTTAACTTAAGAGATCCACCTATAGAAGTAGAGAATATCCCGATATCCAATCAATGGCAAGAATGAGGACACAAATGGCTGCTCTGTTGAGTAGAACCCAGTAAGGGGACACCCTGGCAAAAACTGTGGTCTTATGTACGATAATAACAACGGTATCTTTTTCTCCTTTTCTCCCATTCCGAGCCGTCTTTGACCTGAGATCGGGATTTCATCAACCCAAGTATTCATTACATCAATACCTGCATCATTGATGTCCACTTTGAATTTTCTTCTAGGTTTCCAAAAGAAAAACCTTCTCCACTGCTGATACTTCACACCTGATCATCTGTCTAACAGAAAGGGACAGCCTCCAGCATACAGCAACTGCATGCTCCAAAATTTCACTGATACACTGCCGAAGTAATGCGAGACAGTGAAACATCATCAACTCAGCAAAAGGCCTATGCAGGAATAGACGTGATATCCACCAGCTAAAGCAAAAGGCTGCTTTGTAATGAAAGAAATAGATGCAGATGACCACTGAATTTAAATATACGACAGTGATGAATTTTACATCTATTATCTAATGTATAAAACCATAATCAAAATGTTTGCAGACTTCTATATCAACACATTCAACAAGATTAATTGCCCTTGACAACCTTAATGCAAATACAACATGATTTTAGATCCCCAACATCCATCCTTTCATATGTCAAGAGTACCAATTATCAAACCAGCCAAATGTTGATAATCATTGGTCTGAATGGCCAAGCATGTCAATAGGAACTACGAAGATGCAGACTCAAAAGAGGGAAGAGAAAGAGATAAGATGAGAAGAGGAAGAGATACCAGTTCTTTTTCTTGGAAGGATTTTTTTTGTTCTTTGGAAGGAAGGAAGAAGAATTAAAATTGCTATTTCAAATTCACAGTCCCTTTATCTTGCTTTGGACTATAACATTCCATTTCTTCTTCTCAGACAAACAAGAACAAAAAACAAATTCCAACCACACCTGTTCCTTCACCCTCCCTACATCTAACCCTCCTTCCAGGTTCCTCCAACCAGTTTCATTCTCAGCTTATATAACAGCAGCAGAGAGGCCACAAGATTTATGGTAAAGATAACAGCAGCAGAGAGGCCACAAGATTTACGGTAAAGGTTGTAGCAGTGTCATCATGAGTGTTTTTGAGTTAAAAGAAGACATGCCAAATATTTAAGCAGAAAAAGAATTGACTTACCATTTCAAAAACACTAGGAACCAGAACTGGACTTCTGAACCCAGACTTGCTTCTGTAAATTCAGTGAGCAGACCTTCAACATATCAGTAAACAAGAAAGAAATGCAGAAAATGGCAACGAGGTTTAGCGTCCAAAAATCAAGTGTAAGCACCTCATGGGACCCATAACCAGAAGCACCACCTCTTTTAACAGTCTTCCCCTCAACAGTGGACCCATCAGCATCCCTCACAGGATTTCCCCTCAACAGTGGACCCATCAGCATCCTTCACAGGATGTGGTGGTCCCCGACGACCAGAATGTTTCTGTGATCCTGCATAAAATCAAGCATCTGAGTTGAAACATGCAACTCGTATTAATGATTAACATATGTGCATTGGCATATAGATGCTGAAGCAACAAATAAGTTCAATGTCCAAACCAAAAAAAATAAAATAAAAAATCTAACCATTATCTAAAGAAGAATGATTACTCCGCCCACTTCCAAGTGCTTTTACTTCTCCGCTCCTCAAATTTAAGGTGTCCACTTTAACATCTCCATGGTTTACTACAAGATAAAAAAACAGAAGAGTTATTAAAACAAATCACTCAAGTGTACAATATCCTGCTGCTGAAAGTTTTTTCTTCTTCAAATGGCTGAGGTTTTTTGGCAAATGTTGCCATATGCTATCTTGTATTATGAGAGTACAATAAACAATAATTTGACCTTGTTACTGCAATTGCAAGGAACCCAGATGAGCCCAATATCACTACTCTGAACATATTTAGGCTGAAGATCAATAATAGCTTACCTTGTGAAGAATCAAACCCTGACTGTGTAGATAGAGATGCAGATGATGACAAGGACTCATCACTTGCACAGGATCCCTCTGATCTGCGGAGAGTCCACACTACACGATCAGGTCTATCTTTATTTCTGGTTCGCCTTTCCTGCTTCTCATTTGGAAAACCATGCAAATCATTCGCAACAGCCTGGTCATCTGGTGTTCCATTTGCATCCTTCAAAACCAATGTATGTGGGGGCCGAGGAGGACGCTTGTCCTTTTCTAGATTTGAGGTTTGCATCTGTGGCTCAGACTGGACTCCAGAGGATTGAATTCGACGCGAATCCTTGTGTAAGAGTATGCTTTTGATTACCCTTCCAGAGGATTCATGCCGCTGGCTCTTTAATGCGGTCGAACTAATGATATTTCTATCAGATGTTGATATGCTCTGTTGCTGGGATGTGATGCCAGTAACCTGCAGAATTTATAACCATGAGAAGCATTGTTTCAAAAATAACTAAAGCCTGTCATGGTAATCATGATAAAACAAATGACAGAAGAGGCAAAGAGTCATTTAACAATCAAACACAACCATGCATGAATTAGTGCAGGAAACAGAAAATAAATACATTCCTAAACTACTCAGTCAGGATACGGGAAAGAAAATCAGTTCACATCATTTTGATCAGCATTGGATAAGTATTGTTATTTCAATCAAGAGCAACCCAGAATCATTCTGGGCCACTTCATTTGACACAATCCAACTGCAGCCAAATTAGTTGGAGAGCATCCATCCAAGAAGGATCTCTTGCATTAGCTTATTTTTTGTGCCTCTATTAAAAAAAAAAAACTCTTTCCTCTCTCTTGCACCATTTTCCAGGACGAGGGGGCAAGGAGCATTGCAAACATTAAGCATGCTTTCTCCATCCATAGCGTGTTATATGCCAATTGAATCACTAAAAAGGGAGGAGAAGAGAAATGGAAGGCTCACCAGTGAAATCTCCTTCTCTTTCCCTTTCAGAAGCAGGATTTTCTTCTTCCCGGTATCAGTAATTCCAGAAACTGCTGGAATAAAAAATTGATAACAAACCATGCTTAATGACAGCACTGATAATAAAAGTATATTAAAATAAAAGGGAAAAAGCATAAAAAATACACATGTAATCTAAGATAAAAGACCCATTTAAATATCTAATGATTATTAAAAGCAGATTTTTGAAATATGAATGACAGAGTAGGGAACATGTTCTCTTCCATGAAGAGTTGCATGATAACCAGCAGCTTTTTCTTCCAAAAAGAAAACAAGATACTCAGA